CCTATCCCCGATTTTTCCCAATCCCAATTTCCCAATCCTATAGTAATTCATTATGAACGTAACCTCGTTTATATCCCATTAATCATGTTAAGCAAATTTATTAGATCACAAAAACCTGTTGTCAGATTAACTACGCAGCCGATCGCTCCCCATATATCGAAATTTAAACCACATAATTTCCCTTAGTATTATCTTTGGCATATTTGATCCTAATAAAATCTGTAATTAATCTAAGTTATTATTCCCTGGTGAGTTTTTTTATCGAATCGCTGGTTATATAATAACGATCGACGTGCGATTATCGATCAATCAATGACATTAACTGAGCACAGACATTCTATACGTATGTTAATTGACCTCTGAGAAAAAGTAATCTAATAACGATAATAGGAAGTGCGCTTATTTTTGGAGATCACGGGGTGTAAATATAAACAGTCACATGCTACAGTAGTAACATCATGCTGATAATAATTTCGTGACGTGATAAATTAATTGCATAATCTTATTACAATAAAAATAATGATAGATTGTTTCACTGATTGCAATTAAACTACTTTATTAAATATGTAGACAATTCATATATAAATACAGGACTTGTCATCGTTATAATCCTGAATCATCTACTATCGAAAGATTTACCTAAAACGTGCCCGTTCATGATGCAAAAGTTTTTCTCTACCCTCATCGGGTTTGCTTTCGCCGCCGCGATACCCCCAATATGTGCATTTTTCTGCTGGCTGGTCTGTAAAGAGATCTGCAACTCTCTGTTACTTCTTTTGTCGCCTCTAACTTCCACATTCTTAGGCTTTCCCTTTGGTCCTCTTAATTTCAATCTTAGCCATTGGATTTGCCACTATGCAGTTATGGAAAGGTGAGAATTACAATATCGATAATTAATATGTACATATACTGTGTCATTATATAATCTAATACGTACGTACACTGATTTTTTTTACAGAAAGCGACACTACATCTGACGGTGCGACCAATCAACACGAAAACACTTCATTCGAAGGGTAAATATTACATATGATTTCATCTGTGTCATTATAGTTAATAAAAGGACGACGCTTTATCACGTTATTTTTAGGACGTCTGCGATGTCTGAGGGGGCTGACTTCCCATCTACGCGGGAGGCGATAGAAACCATTCTCCCACAAGCTTCCGAACAAGAAATCGCAATGTACGAGAAGCAGATCGACAATGCGGAAATTTTCGACCCCATTCTTGTCATTTCTGCCAATCACGCATGGATTAATCAGCATGGTCTGCCGGCTTATTACGCAGTTATGGATGCGTTTGCGACAAATGGTCTTAATAATAAGCGTAGAGATGAGGGATCACGCTTTGTCTTCCACTTCGCAGGCAGTGGTGAACTATACACTGTGCGCGACAGCATTCATAACCTCTTCCCCAATGCTTTCTTCTACCCACCCTCCGTCCAAGCTATGATTCCTACTACCCCTCGAACACAGCCCATTGGAATAGCTTGGATAATAATCAAAATGGGCACACGAAAGAATGACTTTGCGAAAGATGGTAATTTCTTTTATGCTGATTGAGGAGGTGAATCTTATTAGACTATGACATAATCCTGCCTAAAGAATTGTACAATGGCTTAATTAAATGCCAGCATTTTCATTACTTGTTCCTGTTTCTAGGTTATTTGTATTTGAAAAAATTTTTTCATGCTTTTCACTATCAGCTAGCAAGCCTATTTGTTAATTTTATCTGAATTAGTAGAATAATCCAAAGTAGAAAGCACTTTTAACTCTTGGTAATGGTTTCTAAGAGTTGTGGTATTAATAAAATTGACTATGACATAATGAATAATGATAATTATTAGATTTCTTCTCAGTACATGTCTAGAAGCAAGCTATGAACATGCCAGGCTTGGAAAACGACTCATTACCCACAACTTGTTCAGAAATATCTGAAGTTAGCAGCACAATATTATAGCAACAAGCCATTCTTGCATTAACAAATTCCAATAGTGAGTCATCTCATTATTATCAGATAGCTAGGTTGTATCATATGTAGGCATGTCCACAAGACAGAATACAGCCTACTTCATGTGACATTCCTCCAAATCACAGTGTGTGGAGGTGCAATGTATTCCAGGCCATTGATGGTATTTTAATATCAGCTTGAATCCCAAGCATTGGTAGTTCACAAACTTTGGATTTGATGAGATTACTTTCAGTCTATTGAGATTCTGATAAACACCTGTAAAGAGATTTAATAAAAAGAGTGCAGCACATTTTTTAAGATATTCAAGCTGTTTCACTAAATATCTAATATTACGGTTCTCAGAAAAGACATCTGTGAAAGAATTGCTGCCATGCATCTGATCAATTATTTGTGCCTGTCAAATAATTTGTTTGATTTTTGTATCCATTGGTGAAGTGAGCTGTGAAAATTTTCCACATAACAGTCATTAAATACTAATACATGGAGAGAATCCATAAGAGTCTGTGAAATAGGATGATTAGTACTAGCCCAATAGAACACATCACTTAAAAAAGCCAATGTAAATGGTAACTTACTATAGTTTTTATGATTATACTGATAGAATATAGCCCAAATGCAAAACATCACTTCCTTGTATACTGGCCAATTTTCACTGTGGAATATGACAGGATAAAAATCTAAAACCAGCGGAATGATGTTATCCAATAAATTGATAAGGTATCTGGCTTCCGCATCTTTAGACTGTTCAAATTTCTGCTTAACTACCATATGCACTCGAGACTAACCTTGTGATGCTAATTCTAACAATAGATCAATCTTGTAAGCCTTTGGCTTTTTTGCCAGAATAGTTGTGAAACTGTGTTTCTTCCAAGAGGATTAATAAAATGAGAAACTTCATGTGTAGTAGTTGTATCACTATGCTGATACTCATGGATATTGTGGAAGTCATCTACATTGAGCACAATCAATTTTTCAATCTTTTAAATAAACACAAATATTAGTTTGTTAATTATAAATCATAAAATGTTTATGATATCCATACTAGTACGTACATTCTCAGATATAAACTTATCCACTGTCATTGTATGTACTTCTGCATACTGAGCTTTCTGTCTTGCAATAGTCATTCGTCTTACTGTTAAGCCTGCACCAGCCATGGTTTCTATTGCAGATGAAGATGCTCCAGACACATCAAGTAAAAATCCAATCTCTGCCTTAACCCCCGTTAATAAACTTGTTATTAAGTCCTGCTAGAAAATAACAAAATGAAATTAATCTCTTCTTATTTTTGTCATTAGTCATATAAATTTTGGTTTCCAGCTACTAGTTGATAAAAAAAACCTTTCAAAGATGGTCCAGCTTCCTCAAGCATTCTCTTGAACTCTTCTGGGTCTGGGACAGGCCTTTCGTTGTCTTGTGTACAATACTCCCGCCATTAGTTTGATCTGCTTATTGAGAGGAATCAACCCTAAAAAATTAAGAAAGTGATTCATAATGCTTATAGATAAAGATTATTTACTCATGGAGCTTTGTTGCTTCATCAAGCTCTGCACACACTTCATGATATGCTGACTCTAGTTCTTGAAATTCTGACTCAGAATAAATAACATCACTCCGTAATAATATGACATACCTTGGAATTGTTTTATATACTTTGTCGGAATTCTATGAATCGCTGGCAGATAATTGGATAAGTTAGTAAACACTCTGAATCATTGTCAGTTACGTACAAACAATGATCGCTCCATGTGGTTAAAGAATTTATTGCGTTTATGATGTCGTCACACAAAATCTCCAATTTCGCAGCACATGAAATCCAAGACAGCCATCGCGACATAGCCAGATTAGGCCAAAAAAAGTTCGACAACTAAAATTAGATTGTCCCATTATATCCAATTTTCTGGACACAAACTATCCCCACATATCCAATTTTCTGGACACATATACAGTCAAACCTCGATATAGTGAAGTCTTGATACAGTGAATTTCGCGCTATAGTAAAGAATTCTTCTGATCCAAAAACAGCATTAGTATAAACTTTACTATATTGAAAGATTTTAATACAGTGAATTTTCGATATAGTGAAGAAAAATGTCCGTCCCGCTGACTTCACTATATCGAGGTTTGACTGTATCCAATTTTCTGGACAATTTAGTGAAACGATAATTAGTTATAAATGCGAGTCGTAGATAGTAGCTAAAAATCATCGTTCCGATCATTCGAATCATATCTGTAGCAAGACGTTGCTAATAGAATATTTTTCTTTATTCTAATAAAAATATGATTCAAATATAATTAATTCGTTTATTCCCTGATAAAAAATACTTAGCATCGTTTGACGCAGTGTTAAAACGCTTCCCCGTCAGCGGTGAATAGAATTAATTCTTGCCGATTAATTCTATTTTGCATCAGTATTATTGTTTAATTATTACTAGTAGTTTTAGATAAGATAATTCCCCGTTTTGAGACTAATCCCATCAAAGAAATCGCAGAGATACTCGAGGTTAAACAATAATCTAGGGACAGTGTATCTGTTGTACCTCAGTTGGGGACCTGTCTCAGTTCTGGACTGAGACAACTGAGTTTTGGACTGAGACAGGTCCCCAACTGAGGTACAACATATGCACCCCGCTCAGATACGATGGATGTACCATTTTGCTCAAAATTCTGTTTTACCATAAGAGGAATGTCGTTTACAACAAATTGTCAAAAAATGCTTCTTAGCTAACTTCTGAATTACTTCACTACTTACCAAATCACTTGCACAGTGCATAGAGTAGAAGGTATGCTTTGGAAAATTTTTAGCCACAACGTCTGCGAATTCATTTTTGTAGCTGCAAATACACTACCTGGACAAAAATATCGGACACCCTAATTTATTAATTGCTCTAAAGTGTACATAATAACTGAAGCTAAACTTTCTATATGTTATAGTCTAACTTTTTGTAAAACGCGGATATAAGTTTTACGCGTTGTTTACATTTATTTCCTTTGTAAACGATATAATAAACGGGATTGGTGTTTAATCTTTAACTTGAAAATGTCTGACTTGACCGAAGCCGAACGTGGTCAAATTATCAAACTTTTTAAAAGTGGTGCTACAAAAATGAGTATATCTGAAACTCTTGGCTTCCCTATAACAACAGTAATACGAAAAATTCAAAATTTTCTCGGAAAAAAAAAGTCTCGCAACCCAACCACGCAAAACTTTTAAATTTTGAGCAAAACAAATATTAAAGCGGTTAAGCAAAACAACAAGAAATAATCGGCTGAACAAATCAAAACCTGTTTAATGAAAGAACCAATTTACACGAACTTAAAATTTTTTTTATCGCATGCCGACATCCAAACCTTTACTCAGAGAAAATCGCCTAAATTGATGTATTGAAGGAAAATTTTCCTAATTGGCTAAGCCAATTACCGTATTTGAACCCTATTGAACGGTTATGATCAGAATTGGAAAAACACATTCAATTATGTAAGGAAACTTGGGAACAGGAGGAATAGAGCCAAATTACTAACGACGTTTTGATGGATTTAATTAAACGTATGCCTCGAAGAGTTGAAGCATGTATTGATTGCGAGTAAGGGCTGGCCAGCAAAGTATTAGTCTTACACATAGATTGACAAGAAGTTAGACTATAACATAAAAAATTTAGCTTCAGTTGTTATGTACAGTTTAAAACAATTGATAAAGTTGTGTCTGATATGTAAAACATATGTGTGTAACATTCTCCTGATTATCCAATCAGATTAAAGTTTGCTATAAGATGAAATTTTTTCGTCCTTGGCTTATTAGGCTTATAATCACATGACATATGGTATTGTATAACGTGTGTTTTTGTCCAGGATTGAGGTGATATTCTACCAAATCTTATTTCTTCCAGAAGTTGGTCATTCTGCTGACGTTGAGGAACAGCGGGTAAAAAAGTCGCCAAACTGCGGAGTGGAATACAAATGATCCATTCACTGGTGGTAATTGGACTAGGTCATTTGCCAAAGGAGATTGACTTTGATGAAAATCTCAGAAAGAAAGGTGAACAGTGTCATTGATATTTTCTCGATAATGATCATATCTATTTTGCGTAGTCTGTCTTTTGGAAAAAGATCAGCGTTCGGTAACGTGAAGCGGTATTACCAGTATATTGTCGATTTTCAATTCAGAATGTATGGTTTTACCATCAACGTGTTGAGCAGCCACTCTTGTCGGTGCTAATAGAAGGTATTGTCTTTTGTCTTTTGGAACGTTCGTTAGAAAGAAGAACGTATATTGTCCCAGAATGGGCTAATTCCCATATTAATAGAACATACCGTAAACTCAGTATCAGGGGCTGTTCATGAGATGTTTGGTTGTGGCTTAAAAACGATGCAAAATGATCTACTACGCACGTAACAATTGTCCGCGTTATCTTTATTATTATTTATTTACATCATATGATTTTCGAATGGCCAGCTGTTTCACAACCTTACAGGTCTTATTCACTCTTTTTGGTTAGCAAACAGGTGATTGTAAAATCATTTCGAGACATGAAGGACCAATGCCACAGATCACTGATATAAATAATCTAAAGTCACAATTACAGTTCTGTAG